TTCGTCCGCCATCTTGAAAATTTTAAAACAGCCAAAGTTATATCTGAACGTAAAATTTTCCGCTTTTTCATTTTCCGGTGTCAAAAAGGGGGGTTTCCATTTTAAAAAAACCACTTCCGGTTGAAGTAACCCACTTTCGGTCAAAATCAAAAGTTGAAAGGTACGCCATTTTGGTTCCCCCTCGAAACCCTACAACTTTTATATGAAACTTTTTTCGATTCCTGACCACACAAACGAGTTATTGGAGGTAATAGATTCAGATGACTCACCCTGTATATATATAAAATAACACCTTTTCTCTCAATTTACGCCATGACGAAAAACGTGCACTATTGTGGATAAATAAGCTACTATATTTACACTCGAATTTATTCCCTTACTTCACTAAATGTTGAGAATGACAGGACGATTTGTGTGCCAGCAGTGATTCTTAATGGTAAATTAGATATAATCATCACTAAGACGATTCCGTGAGCCTTCGTATCGGGAAGACGATACCACTCGAGTCCATAAGATGTGGTTGCTACTTTCTCCGCCTGTTATTATGAATAGAAAACTGAAATTTGCGAGCCTTTGCAACAAGATATCTTAGACAAGCGGTCCTAGGCGTATTAAGGCGTGTGTATATCGGGCGTACAAATTTATGAAGCACATAAAGATATAATTGCATGTATACTGTAATTGCATGTAATCAAAGAAATTGTATAAGACAACTACACAACTTTAACTATGCAAAATTATACCTGTGTGATAAGCTGTTCGCCCGTATAACAGAACAGAAACATATTTATTATCATAGCTGCAAGCGAAACAATATAAGAGCCCATTGCTACTGAATTACTATCTTCCCATTCCTATAAAAAAATTCATGTAACATTTCTATATCAGATGTAACAACTACTGTAATGAATTCGCCGATAAATTCTTGTTGACTATTCATTGTGATTTACTTTGTGATACTTTAGTGCTAACGATATTAAAACGAATAAAATTACACACCATTATTATGCAGTAGCTCATAACACAAATTGTTATTCTCATCCCTAATATCTCCATAAAAATCATAACATGAAGAGTACCCTCCACCAGCTGCAGAAAGCTAAAAGGAATTTATTGATAACGTGATGTTGTCGTAACAGTTGCACATAAAAATAAATAAGTAAAGCATGATCTAATAATTATAAACACACCTGCGTATTTTTACTTGATGTTCTACAACAATACCTAGTTTCTTATTCACCTCGAGTTCGTCTAGTGTTTCCTTTTCAACGAGATCTTTTAGCAAATTTACTAAAATTTTCAGCTGGCCGCAAGCATGCATTACGAAGACGATGATGAGACCATATATACTTGTCGCGATCGACATAGTGATTATCCCGGACACACAATGCAACGCATATACCAACCCATAGTAGATCAGATTGCATTGATCATCGAAATAAAAGAAATAAGTTGGATAGGGTAAAGGTCTGATCGTAATGTTTTGTGGGGTTACGATTTTCCCTCTGGACAAGGGTATCAACGTTCGAAACACAAGTCCACTGCTGTATAAAAAGATTGCGCTAATCATAGTCAAACGCTTTCCCATCTTCGCGAATTTTAACATGATGTTCCTTGAGCCCGCGTTGTCGACCTTCTTCCAATCCTCTTCGAGGAATTTTACACAGCGTCTGATTTGATCTTCATGATTTATCAAAACATAATATTTGATTAAACTCATGAGACCGTAGAGCATAAGCGGAATCAAACGAAGTCGAACGCGAGTTCTCTTTTCATATATCCAATAAAAAGTACCGGGCACCAGAGCGAAATAAAGAAAAGAGTGTAAGATAGAAATTCGCAGGAACTTTTTAATTTTCTTACAAGCAGACATTTTTCCATCAAAATTTGGCCAAACACCGATTAAGGATAAAAAGTGGCGAGTTAGTTTCAAACTAATCTTAATGTCGTCCTGGTAATGGTTGTTGTGTGACACCTCGCACATTGTGAAGATCGCTTTGCAACCCTGCTATGCAAAAGTTACTGTATTCTAACGTTTGATTGCACCGGAGAATGATGTACTAGATGCGAAATGGGTAAGCCGCGAGTCAAATCAGAACTGATCGTTGAAGTAAAAGTCCGCGATAAGATAAACTTGCCATTAGAATGCGCTTGCGCGCATCAAATCTCTAATGGTGCGTGAGTCAGAGAAGTTATACGTAATAAAGTTTGTAAAGCAATTTGCTTTTGTGAGATCGATTTTGCTTGCGTCTAGAAAATATTTTTATTCGCTACCTTTCACTACATCAGAAAGTGACTCCATCGGACTTAGCTTCTATATCCATTGAAATCCGTAATTTTAATCATGAAATCGTATAGTAGTTAAAGAAATAGTAAAATAATATACATTGATATTCTACAAAAATTTTTGACTCTCGAGAAGTCATCAATCGAAAATTAAAATCCATATTATAAGTTAATGGTACGTAAAATATATGTGTGTAATTCTTTATACGTATACACTGACATAAGTTGTACAAAATTAAGGAAAAGAATAAAAATTTAGAAAGTATCAAGTGATTTATAAGTAATGTTTCAATTACTATACTATATTGTTCTTATTTTAAATTTCATCTGTCATTCAAGGGTTAACTTTCCAGCAGAGAAGAAGTTCTACAACAGGAGTGAAAGACTGAAACAGTGCTTATGCATCTAAAGTAACTTTCAAGTAATTTAATTTCTTCCATATATAGTAGAGATTTATGCTGAAATATTACCAAGTAACTCTAATAATATTCTCTACAAATATGAATTCTCTAGAAATATGAATCCGGTATTAAATTTTAAAATCAGCTACAGATATTATTTTTAAACAGTAATTGAATTTTTCGCTTATTTCGTAAAAAGTAAATTTTGGCTGGCAATTTTCAAATGTCACATACGATTTGATGACTAGATAATTGATTAATATAATATTTTTACCCTTCATTTTCCGAACGTCTTTCACATTCTCATTCTTCCATTATACTCTCGATTACAGAAGCGCATTTAAATGGTTACACTTCGAAGTATATTAAAATATGCAGCAGATGTTTTTAGAATCTGAAAAAAATAAAAGATATCTCAAATTATCAACTTCACCATTAATGATATATCTGAAAAAGAAATTATAATTAATTATACTACTGTGTCCAAAAAGTAAGACCAGTTTTCAATTTAAATCGCGCGGGTAAACCGCACATCATAAATATTTTTTTTCTAAGTTGGCAGCATTGTGACAGACATCTGTGACAAATTTCATGTCAAAACATTCATTACTTTTTGCTTTACGCTTGGTTTTGTACGACGCCAAAAGTGCATTCGGCGATTTTTACAATGTCTAATTATATTGAGCAAAGAAGTTGTATTAAATTTTGTTTGCGGAATGAAATTTCGGGTGCAGAAACGTTCAGGATGTTGCAGAAAGCCTTCGGGGACCATGCTTTGTCTGAAAGGAATGTTTACAAGTGGTATAAACAGTTCAAAGAAGGTCGTGAAAGTGTTGAAGACGAAGAGCGTTCCGGACAACCATCAACTTCTACCGATGAACAACACGTCAAGAAAATCGATGAACTTGTGCTTGCTAATCGTCGAATGACTGTTAGAGACCTTGCTGATGCTGTTTCGAAAGGATCTGCCAATACCATTTTGAAAGATATTTTGGGCCTGAAACGTGTAAAATCTCGACTAGTAAGATAATGCACCTTCTCACACTGCACTCGTTCTTCGTGATTTTTTCGCCAAAAATTCGATCCATATCGTTCCACAACCATCATATTCGCCTGATTTAGCACCGTGTGACTTCTGGCTATTCCCGAAACTCAAAAGACCACTGCGGGGAAATCGTTTTGAGACGATAGAAGAGATACAACATAAATCGCTACGCGCTCTGAAAGCCATCCCGGAAGGCGACTTTAATTCTTGTTTCGAGGACTGGAAAATACGTTGGCATAAGTGTATTGTGTCGGGAGGGGATTACTTTGAAGGCGACGAAATAGATTTGGAAGAATAAATAAATATTTTTTGAAATAAAAACTGGTTTTACTTTTTGGACACAGTAGTATATAATCTATAATTGACGTTTCAAAAATAAAATAACATCGCATTAGTCATATTAATTTGACATCATGTATATAAATAATTTATTTTTAAAGAAGTTCATTTTACATTTAAAATTATAATAGTTACACAAGAAACAAATGTGTATAACGGGGTTGTCCCGCGTAAGACGTGCCAAGAGAAAAATATAAGTAGCATAGATAAAAGTGAACAAAAATTGTAGAGGTCATTTTTCAAACAACTACGTAAAATTTCGAGATATTAATAAAAATAATTGGACAAATTAGAGCGCGCGACGCGACAGGCTCGCCGTGGCCTGCGAAGAAAATGGACGAGCGTACATGTACACGTACGCATACACGGAGCTACCCATTTCCATATCCCAAACCATCCACCTCTCTGGTCTATAAGATAGGCCCGCCAGCAATCGTCCATTTTTTTTCGCCGGTCGCGGCGATCCGTATGTCCCTCCTGCCGCGTCGCCGCGTTCTGATATGTTCCAGTATTTTAATTAATATCTCGAAATTTTACGTGGTTTTTTTAAAAATGACCTCTACAATTTTTGTTCACTTTTATCTGTTCTACTTATAATTTTCTTTTAACACGTCTTACGCAAGACACCCTGTATATATATATATATATATATATATATATATATATATATATATATATATATATATATATATATATATATATTAGGACCTTAA